CTTATCCTTTCAGTACCCAGTTATGGATAAACATTACCCCCGATAGAAGATTGTCCATATCGGGTATAATAAGCTTATCCTTTCAGTACTCCGTTATGGATAAACATTGCTCTCAGTAGAAGATTATCCATATCTGGTATAGTAACAGCTTATACAACAACTTCCTTTCTTCTATAAATAGAAGAGATTTCAGTTCATTATGTACATCAGTTTGAATTCGAATAATATAACAGTTTCTCTCTATACTTGTCTTTACTTTACCGTCTGTATTTTATAACAAAGTCAAATAATTTTAAGTATTTGAAAATAGGAAGAGTATTAGGAGGTGGACGAGAGGGTGAAAAGGAGTTAAAAGACTAAAAAAATCTAAATTTCTAACATGATATTCAGGACAAATTATTCAGAGAAAATTTGATGCTAACCTGTGGATTAAAGTTACATGCCAGAATGTCGCGGTTTAGAAATGTAGTAGCATTTATGTTAGTATGGACATATTCATTGACAGAGGCGGATCTAGGATTTAAGGTGACGGGTGCCAAAATTTCCTTTAATGTACACCTTATAATAACTACTGATATATAATTTGTTCGGAACATTTGTCCGGTTCATTTTTTTTAGTTTATTTGGGTAATTTAATAAGCACTTTATTTGCAAATATAAAAATTACATCAATTTTCCAGACCCTACTTATGGAATTTCATTGGGTATATATGTTATTATTGTCGTATGAAAATTACATCTTAGACATTAAGAAGAAAATATAATTAATATTTTAAAGAAGGAATCACACTCTTATTATTTATAATACAAGTAAAATCAATATTTTTACTAGGGAACTACATTTTTTTGTATGCTAAAAATAAATTTGCATAGTAAAATAAAATCTTTAATAAGTGAACTCCACCGATCAGAATAAGAAAAATAAAAATAAAAACATCTTCAATCGATAAATTATACCCCATAAGTAAATGCAAAATTAGATCAACTACAAGATCTCAAAACTTAAAATCATAAATCTAATGCTTGCGAAATATTCATCATAATTTATTACTAAAGAGATCTAAATTGTATTTAACAATCATAGAATAACACAAATTTTTATGTTATAATAAAAAAAAGAAATTATAAATTAATGTTGATCTCAATCTAAATATCACGACGACCCAAGTTTTTGATTTTGAAAGAAGAAAACTAAAATATTTGAGATTAAGAGAAATGCTTATATTATAAAAAATTTAAATGTTGAAGGCTCTTTTTTGAGTGTTCTTGCTAAATATTACAGATAAAGTAATAGAATAGAGGGAAAAAATAAAAATAATAAACGACAAATAGAAAATTGGGAGGTAGCCAAAAAGGAAAATGACTGGGAGAAAAAAAATTAAAAAACACAACGAAAAGGGAAAGACAGACATGGATCAAGATAAATTCGAACTTGAATTTTACACACGAGAAAAACTTTTAAAAAGGTTTACGAGTCATGACACCTTTGTCTAGTTTGCAGATGAGGGTGACAGGATCATATATTTAACCTAGTTTAAATTTTTTTATACATAAATATATGATAGTTTTACCAACCGAGCGGATGCCACACCTGCCCACCCATAAGGGTGGATCCACCCCTGTTCATTGACATTGGTCGTTGACAACAATTTTACCTATGATTATCAAGGTGTGAACCCACTTACTAATTAGAAGATGTAGAGTGTCAGTGGCAGCACATCTGAGTCCGTAGAAAATCAAGGTGTGAACGAACACATTGACTGTTCGTCGTCACTAAAAATAGACAGTTTTTTAGCTGTCGTCTGTCATGACTAGGAGTTTTCTGTTGGCTCTGAATTGCGAAAACCATTAACTAGCCGCTCCATTCGGTTTTACATTCATGGTAAAAAATTAAACACCGTGTGGTGTTGTTTCAGATATTATTTTTTGGGATTTGCCACTTTTAGCCCGTGGCATGGACTATTTACATTTAGTAATTGAAAAAAGTTTATAAAATTAGTATATTTTTTGTATATAACATATATATATATATATATGTTATATATACATACATATTTTTTTCTATTATTTTAAAAGCGACGATACAGTGTTATTTTCGCTTCAGAATCTACCCTTTAAGAGTAATTTAAAATTTTCAGGCGACAATTTCCACGTGCTTTTACATCTCTTCTTTTTTCGCATTCCTCCTTCGACCTTCCTACTTATTTATTTGTAAATTAATTTATGATTTTAAACCAAATATTTAACATGTTTATTATAATGACATTATGATATACTCCTGCCTTTTTAAAAATTTTAACCGCTCAAGTTCTTTTTACTATCAAATTTAATGCGTAAGATTCACATTGTTGTTAAGATGCTTCATTAGTTATGTGAAAAAAAATATTTTCTCTATCCCAATTTATTTGCCGTTGTTCGAGAGTTAAACGAGTTTTTATTTGACCTCAATTCTGTCATATACCTTTTAAATATTTTAAATTATAATTATTATGACGTATAATACTTTTTATTTAGTTTTTAAATATATAGATTGTATTTCAAAAAATTAAAGATTATATGTCTGAATTTTCGATCAAAATTAAAAAATTAAAAATTTCAAAATCCAAAATGCATTAAAAATGTTAAAACGGAGGGAGTAACAAATTTTATTACAACATATAGGGTATATAATATTTTTTTTTTTGGTCAAAATATTTTGTTTTATTCAACCAAGTAAAAATTTATATACAGCTAACTCTTTTGGACCCAAGAGTTAGTTCTCTCGGAAAATTAAAACTATGCTATAAACTATCTATGCTGGGTAACAATTTAACCTACCTAGTATACTCTTCCATTTACAATTGTTATGTCCTTTAACATGTCACTGTATAACTATTTCCTTCACTCTCTGTCTAGCATCTTGCTTCCTTTGTTGAAATCTTCTTGCATTTTTCTCTGCCCAGATATGATAGACAATTGCTGCAAAAGAGAAATCCTAGAATATGAGTCCTTGGTCGATTGTTGATTCTGCTTGCTACCCAAGTGACTTCTTCCTACCAAGTGCCTATGTTCCTTTTTATTCCCAACCAGCCTAGTAGAGTATTCCACACTTGATGTGAATAAGGATATTCAAATAGTATATGCTCCAAGGTTTTCTCTATATCAGCTACACACAGTACACATTCTTTTTCAACCTGCATTCCCCATCCCTCTAACCTGTCAACAGTAGATAGCCTGTATTGTATTGCTAACCAGAGAATGAATTGATGCCTGAGAATGATACTTTGCACCATACTATTTTCTTCCAATCTACTTTCTGAAACTGAGGAGTGAAGAATTGATATGCTTTCTTAATGCTAAACTTTCCCTGTATCTCAAAGCTTTTTAACAGTGCCTAATGGTCCCCATGATTCACTAGCCAACTCCTTGCTTCCAATATCTTCCTAACTAACCAAAAAGTTTGTTTAGGAATAGGACATTTTATTAGATATCTCTGCTTTATATAGAAGCAATGAATCCATTTTACCCATAGATTATCCTTTTTCTGAGTAATAACCCACAATAGCTTACAGATTGCTGATTTGTTCCATTTGTAGAAATCCAGAATATTTAATCCTCCAGCAGACCTAGGCATGCACAGTTTTTCCCAAGCTACTAAGGCTTTTCTGGAAACTTTATTTGTATTGTCCATAGGAATGTTCTGCATATATTTGTTACCATATTGATGATCTTTTTTGGCAATAGAAAGATTTGAGCCCAGTAAGTCTGCATCTCAAATAGAACACTTTTAATCAGTTACAGTCTCCCACTGTATGATAGAAATTTAGTAGACCAACATCTAATCTTTGCCATCATCTTTTCCACTAGAGGCAGACATTGGTGTATTGTGAGCTTCCTTGAAGATATTGGTACTCCCAAGTATCTAAATGGCATTTCCCCAGCAGAGAAGCCCATCTCCTGAATGATCTGGTGTTTGAATTCACTGGACACCCCTGCTACATAGAGTGAACTTTTATCCATATTGGCTTTAAGCCTAGAAACTTCAGAGAAGTGATTGAATGTCTGTAACATTAACAGGATGGAGATTCTATCTTCCCTGCAGCATATTAGCAAATTATCCACAAAATAAATGTGTACTAGGTCCAACTTTGAACATATGAGATGGTAGTTAAAGTCAGGGTTTTGTTTCAGGTTCTTCAAGGATCTGTTCAAATACTCCATAGCCAGAACAAATAGGTAAAGTGACATTGGATCTACTTGTCTTAGCCCTTTTTTTGCTTGAAACCTTGTGGTCAATCCACCATTAATCAATAGTGAGTAGCTGACAGTTGAAACACAAGCCATTATCCAGATGACCATCTTCAAAGGGAATCCAAATTCAAGCAGCACCATCTGTAGGAATCCCTACTCCACTGAGTCATAAGCCTTCCTTATATCAATTTTGACCATACATCTAGGTGACACCCCTTTCCTAGAGTATCCATTTACCAATTCATGGGCTACTATGACATTATCTAGGATACTTCTCCCCTCAATAAAAGCTGATTGAGATGGCCCTACAATAAGATCCACTGATGTCTTCAATCTTGCAGTCAAGATTTTAGCAATTAGCTTGTATAGAGTTGAACAACAAGCTATTGGTCTAAACTCTTTGACCATAGTGGGAGCTGGAACTTTAGGTATCAGTGTCACAGTAGTATAATTAATCTCTTTCAGAAGTTGTCCATTATCAAAAAACTGTAAAATTGTTGTAATTATCTCTTCTCCAATAGTATCCTAGTATGCTTTAAAAAACTAAGTTGGGGAGCCATCTATGCCTGGAACTTTGTCATTTGAAAGTTGGCAAAATACCTTACCAACCTCCTAAACTTGTCACAGATTATTAGTTACAGCCTTAGACTATTCGTGGTCTTAATTACTCCCTCAACTAGGCCTTTTGAGAGCCATTACCCCCTAGACACTGATGTGGCAAATTATGTGGGTGCACTCGCCTGCCACGTGGATTTTTCTGTATATGTGGTATTTTTTTGAAAAATAAAATATATTTTTATCTTTTTAAGTATGTTACTTTTTTAGATAATTTTTTTCGAATACAATTTATAATAAAACTTGGATAGAACTACATTATTTAGGCTAAATTGTTTTATTTAGCTAAAAATAATAAAGTTTTAGTTAATCTTTTTTTGAATTTGACCTGAAAATAAAAATTTATACAATTGAAATAAATAGTCAA